AATTAATATTGACAACTTTATCTAATGAAAAATGTAATTACAAAATCAGAGGTAGTGAATGTCTTGTTTTAACTTGAAGCGAGCATAATTCGCTACTTAAACATACCAAAATAACGAGAAGCGAGTTGATAATACTAATGCCATAGGCAACTAAAAAAAGGTGATAAAATTGAACTGTTTGAACCGCTGTATAAATAAAATTTGCACTAATGTTGAATGGCAGTTCCATTTTCAATATAAGTTCTCGTGCATACGGTTCTGATCTCTCGGGACTGTTTGCATTAGCGGTGAGTACGCCGGCACTGTACAAAAATACAGAGACTATTTGCAGGCCGACGATCCACCTCGAGGCGCGACGTGCAAGATTTGCTGAATCCGTCATTATCCGTGAGGAATAATGGTTCAATGTATTATAATCCCGCCAGTCCACAGATATCATTTGTAATACGTCAAAAAATATTCTACAAAAAGTCAAGTACACTGTTTGTGTTAACATTTGTATCATTCTTGTTTACCACAAAATAAATTAATTCTGAGTTTGATACAAATAAATAAATTTTATCAAACTTTATCAAACAACTCATTTTGTTTGGTAATTAGAGCACGTGCCGATATTGTGACAAATTTGCATATTATTTTGTAAGTACGTCTTACCGTTGATGGGTCCAAAGGATAACGAGCTTAATGTAGAAAAGCGAAGACGCCATTGCGCTACTCACTCCGTCCATATATTGGGAAAAGTCGTCCATATGAATATTTACCACCACGTATCGATATTGAAAAGTTTGAGCCATGCTCAGCATTATTATCCAATATAATCTGAAGATCACAGTGGATGGTACATATGGCCAAATACCGTAAATATGAAGTCCGAATTTGACTAGCCGACTAATAGTGGTCATTCCTTTATTTCTTTATTTTTTAGGAAGGATCAGAAATATTTACAATTGCGTGGTTGATTTATTAAGACTAAACTTACTCGTGGTAGATTTGAACTTCAATCCATGTCACCCACCATTGAGACCA